TGCAAAAATATTAGTACAATATTTTCTATTTTAGTTTACAACTAAAATATGTATATATACTTCTAAAAATATAGAGAGTTATATTAGTGACAAATAAAATATAAGTGAAAGTAGAGATGAATAATATTAAACTTACAACACAACTTTGATCTATGTAAAACTACATACCCCTATATATATAATGTCGATATATATATTTTTTTCGACTGCTACTCAACAGCACTATTTATTTGGAGGTAACCTGAAAAATGAATGGAATGTTGAACTTTGGTGTTAATGATATTGCACTATTGAATTGAAACTCAACTACCACTCGCACCTGCCATCAATGATTGCAACAAAAACAGGATTGTTACAATTTTAAATACGGTTTTTTTGTTTTAAACTGCTGTTATCTGCTCGCATGTAACAAATGTTCAATAGTTAGTGTATTTACATGCCCCCACACCCGTAACAGCAGCCCACAATTATTTTATCGATTTGCCTAACGCACGGCTGTGCACGAACTCTAATTGTACAGAGTCACAAACGTAAGTGCACGTATTCACTCTCTCTCTCTCTCTCCCTCCCGCTGTCTTCCTCCGTCCCACATACATTTGCATAAACACGTTCATATAATACAAATGGTGTTGATGAAGATTTTTGCTGATACGTCATCTGGCGTTAATTACAGCTTTTTCATGGCGGCTATTTGCAACAGCACATTTCCACTCTTTGTGTGGAACGAAACAAAAAAAAACAAAAAAATGTTTTACTTTACTGCCTCAATTAATTAAACTTTGAACTTTTAATATTGTGAATTGCCCACAATAATATCGTGTAAATCGACAGTCAGCAAGCAAGGATGAGCGAGGAGCGAGAAACGGGGAGCGAGGAGCAAGGAAGGATATTAATGCGGCAATTGTTTGCTGGAGCATGTACAGCACATAAACGATATGCGTAGGCTTAACATATGCGAAGCCTGCAGATATATTTCAATCATTGGAAGTTTTTGACTTTAATTCCAAACTTTGTTGTTGCTTTCATTGAAATAATGTCGGAAAGCTCAATTTTGATAATAGGTTTAAAAAAAAGTTGATGAAAAGACAAATCTAAAACAAATATACATAAAAAATAGCAGTTTATTTATATGGTAAAAATATTAATTATTATTAGGTTCGTTTAGGCATGAAGATAAATATGCTATAAACTCTAGCTATAGCGCCTATGGGTGTATAGTATTTCCTTAAAGTTATTATTATTAGATCTGCTAACTCCCCCAGTGACATAGTAGTCTGTATAAGAGTAGTGAAGATTGCAGTGATACGTACGTATTCAGTACAGTGTCATCCAACTAGGAACCCATTCTCATAGCGTTCCATTCTTATAAAATATTAACTTCTGTCTTACCGAAGTTAATTCACTTATTAATTCTATTGATAAGAATAAACTGACTTTTTTTATTTTAAAATTATTAGATAAAGAAATAAAAGTGTATCAGAGATTTACAGATATGACTAAAATATCAAATAACTGATACATTAACTAACAAATAGTTTTTACAAAAATGAACTCATTTTCCGACCTAATTTGAGCTTAATTGAGAAAATAAGAGTATATCACAGATTTACACATATTATTG